ATACTATTAATAGGCCTATCATATTCCCATGTAGTATAACACTTTCTCTAAAATCCACTTTATCCATCTAGTATTTTGTCTTTCCTGATGTAAGCCTTAATTTTTGTCTTCTTAGTTTTCTATCATTAAAAAAGTAAATTTCCCCACGCACCCACATTGAAAAATGGCTAAAGCAGTCGCTAATTTAAAGGGATAGTTGAGTTCTGTTTTCAGACCGAAAATGTCTTCAATGTGCATGCTTATTGCTCTTATTCTATTCTTATCTATGACATTTCTAGTGCCCTTTTGGAACGTAAAACTGGTATGAAAGTAATTTTAGACCCCAAAATGTGTAAAAAATTTAGTCAATACGATCATACCAATTCAGCTCCACTTTGAAATAATATGATGACCGTTAATTAATTGATTAATTAATAATAACAATAAATGGGCCTGCTGGTTGTGCGTAATATAAACACAACAAAGCCAACAAAAGATCCAACATCGGCACTGGCTGAAATACAACGTAAAAGGCGCTATTTCGTTTTTTAAATGGCTTTTTCAAATTATTGAATATTTGTGGTGGTACACAAATATTAGAAATGGTTATATTTATGGATAGTTTAGCCGTCTCTGAACCGATTTTGATCAAAAAAAGATAATTTTGTCATATAAATTGTATGTTCTTTTTAATCTCACACACGGTTTTTCATTATCTCACAACAAATTTATTTTGTGTAGCGCCCTCTGCAACAGAACTCAACTGTCCCTTTAAGGTAACATTTCCCCAGCTTGTAAGGCCGACTTGAAGACACCATTAAACAAAAAATGTCCCAACGAGCCGTGAACCGAGTGTTTTCCAGCGCGCCACGACCCGAGTGTTTAGACTTTGGTATCTCTTTGGTATAAACCAGTGCCATATATAGAAATGATTAATGTATACGCACGAAGTGCAACCCTACTGCAAACTCTGTTCATGTCTAATGCATATGTGAATTTAGAGTAGTGCAAGTACTACCATGGTCATTGAGGGGGGGGCGTTGGGGTGGGGGCAGTAGACCCAAAAAATAAAATTCAAACGTAGTTTATTTCTAATTCGATATCGGTGAATTACAAATGTTGCTGAAATGACATGATTTTTCGGTGTGTTTTGTTTATCACGTTTGGCCGTTACGCCAGAGGCGGCACTACCGGTGGGGGGCACTGTGCCCCCACATTCTCAGTTACCTCCAAAGTGTTCCTTTTCTTTTTTAATAAGAGTCCTTTTCCTATTTCTTTTATTTCTGATGAGTATAGGTTTCGTGATCGAGTGGATACGTCACCGGACTTACGATCACAAGCTCTGCGGTTCGAGTCCCGCCGCGGCACTAATGTCCTTTGGCAACACATTGATCAACATTTGCAACTCTCCACCCAGGTGTTAAATGGGTACCCGGTAGGATGCGAAAGCCAATGTAGTATGCTTAGTAATTTGAGCCTAGTAGCTCCTGCTGGAATGCTCCCCAGGGAGTTGAGAAATTAGATACATTGTCTATAATAATTTTCCCAAGAAGTCGTTCGCTACGCTCGATCGCATTTATAAATGTTATAATTATGTTAATTATAAAAGAACTTTCAGTCTTTATTCATAAGACTGTGCTTAATACTCATCGGTTTTTATCTTCTTTATGAGATGTCATTTTTCACACTGGGACCTCACAATTTTTTTTTTAAATTCTTGCTCGCTTCGCTCGCTCGCATGCAGACCATCGCACCCAAATGCAAAGTATGTTGCGTATCCTGTCACACGTAAAGAAAGAAAATCTGATGTCATCCCTGATAGTGTAATCACAATCATGACGATGAAAGGGTATAAATTATACCAATGTTTTTTATGTTTCCCTTTGTAGGTGCCCCCTTTTCCAGAAAGTGCCCTTTTTGGTGGGTGCCCCGCCCTATTTTGAAAACGCACCAACGCCCCTGCATTAAGCTATTTGTAGTGATGCGGATTTTGTTGTGATCACCCAAAGCTTTTAGTCATTACGCAACTGAACATGGCAACCATGAAAAATACTCAATAAATTTGTAACGTCAAAAATGTCAAGAGCAAAAACAGTTGGTTATGTGATTAGAACTTTAGAAGAAAAATTGAAGGGGTAAGGATGCTTGACATATTAATCTCATATGATTCCTCCCAGGCGCGATCACAGGGGGGTTGGGGGTTCCCCCCCCCCTTGAGTTTTTTTAGTGTGTATGTTATTGGGGGAACCCCCCCCCCCCTTTTGATAATTTTTTTCTTTCTTTTTTTAAATAAAAATATGTCCTCTCATCCCCCCCCCCCCCCGCTTACTTAGCGGCTGGCTGAGTCGTTGCGAAAATTTTGGCCCGAATTCAAAATGTTAACCCCCCCCCCCCCCCCCTTGAAAAAAATCCTGCGTACGCCACTGATTCCTCCTACATTTCTCAAACTGATTTTGTTTACATCTTACGATTTTGGCTTCTTATATAGCGCTCGTGGATGTATACTCCTATATTTATCGGGTTAATACCAAGGCCACCATTACTGACCCCAACAGCGTTTAGGGAATATCATTATAAATAATTATGTAGGCCCTTGGGCTAGTCATCATTCAAGTTAAGTACTATGATACCTCCATTACTTATTGGATACATTCCTGAAGAAGTGACGTAAAAAGGGCGGGAATTTGACGTTTAACTCGAAAAGGCTTACATTATGTACCCCCTACTCAGTTATTGTAAATATTGGTTCTCATAATGTCTCATATTCCTGCTCCTTAATATATCAGTCTATCTCCCTCTCTCTCTGTTCGATTATATGGTTATTGTTTAACATGTGCAAAGGTTTATGTGATATTGCTTTCATTTCTGTCGTATAGCACAACATATTTAATGGGTCTCTTGCAAACACAAAATAAATCTGTGCATTTGATCACGTGTGAAAAAGAAGGCTTATATAGACTATGAATATCATAGTTAGCCTAAACGAATCAAATATTTTACAGTGCTTTTAAAAGTTTAACTTCAAGAACATTTTTATATTCAATTACTCGACTCAGAAATTATGAAGAAGAATATAGAATCGTTGATGGTTGAAATTCTCTTCTTTTAAAGGCACTATATCCCATTTGCAGGTCGAACAAATGGAAATGTTAATTCTAACGGCATTAGAAATAAAAACTTATTTAGAACTTCTCTCAAAACGAAAGGGCTTGAAATTGGGTTTTTGTGGAAAAAATAACAACCATTAGTTGTTGAATCGACATAAGCTATTGCAATCACAAAAGTAATAGTCTGATTTTCAGACCCTTGAACCGAATGGTCGTACGTTTTATTCTGCACAAAGATTAATTCAGTTTAATTTTGGCCATTACAAGTAAAGGGTTATTGATGTAGACAAAGGCTCATTTACCTGTTACAGCTCATGTTATGTATGTTTTTACCAACAGCGTTCAGGGAATATCAATATACATATGTAGGCCTCTGGGCTAATCATCATTCAAGGTAAGTATTGTGACATTTTCATTACATAGTATATACATTCCGGAAACAGTGACGTCAAAAAATGGGAATTCGATGTTTAACTAAAAAAAGGCTTACATCATATACCCCTACTCAGTCCATGTCAATTGTGTTACTCATAATGTCTCCGATTCTTGCTATTTAATCTATCAGTCTCTCTCTCTCTCTCTCTCTCTCTCTCTCTCTATCTCTCTCTTTGTTTAAATATGTTGTTGGTTTAACATGTGCAAAGGTTTATATGATATTTATTTCTGTTTTGACGTATAGCAAAACATATTTAGATAAGACAAGATAAGGAGCATTTAATTGGTCTCTTGCAAACCCAAAAGAAATTTATGCATTCGATCACGTCTGAATAAGAAGTCTACATTATCATAGTTGGCCTAACGAACCAAATATTTTACAGTGCTTTTAAGATGATCAAAATGAAAAGGTTCAAATTCCAACGGCATTTGAAAGACAATACTTATTTTGAACTTCCCTCAAAATGAAAGGGTTTGAAATGTGTTTTTTGTGGGAAAAATAACGACAATTAGTTGTCGAATCGACATAAGTGATTGCAATCACCTAAGTTATAGTCTGATATTCAGACCCTTGTACCGAATGTTCGTACGTGTTGTGCTGCACAAAGATTCAATCAGTTTAATTTTGGCCATTACAAGTAGTGGGTTATTGATGTAGACAAATGCCCAAGTACCTGTTACAGCTTATTTATGTATGTTATTACCAAAGGAATAATGATGTCAGTCAGTCACTCAATAGTGAATGACAGGGAAGGCTAGAAGGTAAACGGGTTTCCTTGCATGATTTGAATACTAGGACACTGCTAACGTCTAAATTTCACAGATAGAACATTATGACATATTCATCATTCCTGCAAAGTTCAACAGAATTTCATGTTGGCTGCATAAGCGACAAAGTATCATTAAAATAAACATGGTATTTTCTATAGGGCGTGAAGAAATATTGTAAAAAGAAGCAAACAAAACATTGGAATTTTGACCCGAACTTGATTTCTCTCTCTCTCTCTCTCTCTCTCTCTCTCTCTTTCTTTCTTTCTCTCCCCCTCTCCCACATATCTATAAAAGGCAAGTTTGCAGTGGCGTATTATTGATAAAGAAAGGGGCGATATCCTCGCAGACCGTGGGGCGTATACTTGTAAGCCTCCCAATGTTTATCGTAATGATCATTTATCCCCGCCTGGTCGTCTTTAAAAAGAAAACAGGGACTTTTAGATTTGCGTGGACTGATACGTGTGACGTCCATTCAAGGCAGTGCATTAAACGGACGTCGATCGTAGCAATCCCCATTGTCTTCGTGCGAATCTAAAAGTCCCTAGTAAGGAGGAGGCACGTACGTCTACTACATGTTGGATGCGCCACTCATTATGTGATGAAAATATTTTTTATGAACCTTAAATAATTACAACTTGAAACGTTATGTGAAAAACATCTAAAGCATAAGCAGTTTTATTTGGTATAGTGAAAAATATTTAGTTTCAACATTATTTATTAATTATTGTTCTACCCGAGTACACAACAATTATACAATAACAAAATAAAAATTAACTTTATATCACAATAAAAGATAGAAAACATAAATCATTTCAAAACAAGGAAGAACAGGAAGAACAATTTCAGTGCTGAAATGTTAAACGCTTTATAAAGACACTGGTTGAAATAAAAGAGGGAATTTCAACTAAAATAACCAAACAAATCATCAAGAAAAGTAAATTTAAATGTACTAATACACCGGTCCAGCCGGCAACTATATAAGACTAAAGTATTTTAAATACCATCATCCATTAATTATCTGTTCTGAACGCTTTAAAATACAATGAAAGAAAGTCATCCATATATAGATACAAGTAATGATCAGATCAATGAAACATCGACGAATTTTGAAAATTGAGAATATACATGTGGGAGAAAAATGGCAAACTTATCATGTAATCATGATGAAAAAATTTGATCATGTAATTATGAGGTAGAAATATCATAGGTAAAAATGTCAGAGGTATGTGGTACTTAAAGAATTCACTGATATCCAGTATTGATAGGATCAATTAGGAAAACAATTTTGTAAACCTCAGTTTAAAGACAATCGCCCTCATTAAAGTATCAAATGTTGTCCCGTCGAATATCATATTGTTAACACGTATAATGCACTGAACCTTTCAGAATAATTGATTATTTTTTAGGTATGAAGCAGGCTTACAAGATTCTAAGGCGACTTCTGTGAGGAGCAAAAAGGATCCAACCTTTGTATAAGTTCATTATTTTGCTAGAAAGCAGAGTTTGAAATAAATCGGACCAATAATAAGAAAGTTATGAATGTTTGAAATATGAGGTCATGTAGTCTATGCGAATCTCAAATTGGCAGTTTGGTCAATGGATTGTGACGTAGTCGCGTATAACTCTCCCGTTTCTCGAGTTCATTAAATATGTTTAAGTTCTGTTTTTTCTCCTAAATGCTTTCTCCCTTGGTACACTACTCAAAATATGTTATAGATAGCATATTATTATAGGTCCTCTAAAAAGAAAAGACCCTCACGACTCATACATTTTTGAAAAATTTAAATTTTAGTCATTTTATGTGTTGGAACAAAAATAAAGTTGTCCGCCACTACATCACAGATAAATTACCGATTCATCCAATTTGAAGAGTCCGTGATTACAACTTTTAAAAATCCACAATTTTTGTCCGCTTTCATTCAAATTTTTACTAGTCTACTTTTCTTAGTGTTTTGCTTTGCTCTTGAGCTGCTTGCTGGCAAGGTTAGATTTCCCTTTAAAGTTGGCCCATGAAAATATTTCCTTGTTATTACCGGATTTTCGATTTTCATCTTTTTACCCCCGAGAAGTTCATAAAAACAGAAACAATACAAACAATCCAATGTCCATGTTCCTCGCCTTTTCTCATTACATCAGTCGGTCTCGGGAAAACGAAGAATACCTTTTAAACCAGAAGAACAAAAGCTATTACCACTCCTAAGGCAGCCAAGGTACCTATTTAAAAGAAGAAGAAAAGTACTGTAAATTGATCACTCTACACGAACCACTCCTCGTGTTCAAGGGGTATTAGAGATGATTAGATGCACAAATCTATTTCACAAAATGTGTTACCATGAACCCCTCTGTATATTTTTTATTTTTTTTATTTGGTACAGTGAAAAATATTTAGTTTCAACATTATTTATTAATCATTGTTCTACCCGAGTACACAACAATCCAATAACAGAATAAAAATACACTGTACATCAAAATAAAAGATAGAAAACACAAATCATTTCAGAACAAGGAAGAACAGGGAGAGCACTTTCAGTGCTGAAATGTTAAACGCTTTATAAAGACATTGGTTGAAATAAATGAGGGAATTATTAAAACTAAAATAAACAAACGAATCATCTAGAAAAGTAAATCTAAAACTACCAATTCACCGTTCCAGCCGGCAAAAATTAGTTACAGAGACGGCTCCAACAGAGACATGGTCTTTGCCTTTCTTTTGATGTGGATACCTTAGTATGCTTAAAACGATTGCATTAACTGATCTTTGATAGATTGTTCCCAAAGTGCCCATATTTTATGTTTTAGGGGGGCCCCTTGTTTTTATGCTTATCAGAACAAACTTTGTGGTTGTAAATGTTCATTTGGTGTAAGAAACCAATTATGAACAATACAAAGAAATAAGGTAAACGTTAAGGCCCACATAAGACCACTGAGGCCCGGAAGTTGCCCCAAAGGGTCCAAATGAAAGTAATCTACAAAGTCAAGAGGCCTATCGCTTTCCGGGGCAATAGAATGGTGGGGCCCTAAAACATAAAATTTGGGCCTTTGGGTCCACTTTATCAAATGTCAGTCGTTACCATCGTTGTAAGCATAACATTTTACTTAGGAATCCGCATTAAAAAAAAGTGAACACCATTTCCATTTTGGAATCGTCTGTGTACTTTTCTATAAGACTAATGTATTCTAAATACCGTCAATCATTTTGTGTTCTGGACGCTTAAATATGATAAAAATACAATGATAGAATAATTCATACTTTTATATCATTATTGAGTCATCCATATATAGATAAAAGTAATGATCAGATGAATGAAACATCTAAGAATTTTGAAAATTTAGAATAAACATGTGAGAGAATCTAAAAATGGAAAACTAATCATGTAGTCATGGTGTATACATTTTATCCCTTAGGCGAAAATATCAGAAGTGAAAAAGTCAGAGGTAAAAATGTCTGAGTTACCAAATGGACTCATGATTATAAAGCTATAAATATAGTACTTAGAAAAACAAAATCTCTATATTGATGACCTGTTCTAAAGTTTCAAAACTTTCTAATTGTATGTCCGTTTTCATTCAAACTTTTAGTATTCTTCTTTTCTAAGCTTTCTGCTTTGCTGTCAAGTTTGGATTTCGTTCTTTAAAGTTGGCTCGTGAAAATATTTCTTTTGTAATGAACAGATTTTCACTTTTCATCATTTTCCCATCGAGAATTTCATAAAAACAGAAAACATATTAACAATTTGATGTCTGTGTTTCTCACTTCTTCTCATTACATCAGTCAGTGTCTGGTAAATGAACTTTACCTTTTAGACCACGAGAACAAAAGCAATTACCACTCCTATGGCAGTCGAGATACCTATACAAAAGAAAAGAAGGTATGATAAATCTTGTATAATAATTGCGAGCGAGCCCCCTCCCCTCCTCCCCCCCCCCCTCCCCCAAAAGAAGACATTGTATAATATGCGTTACAAAATATGTTATAATTAATATACTAGAGAAGATATAAAAAATGTATGCCGCCATCCCGCCGCCAAATGTACATGAATATATAGATATTCAGGCATGCCGTTGCCCGGAATTATCCCGTATCTAACTGTTGCGAGCGAGTAAAGCCAACAAGCGGTAAAATGTAATTTTTATTTTTAAAAAGATATAATATATGTTCTGGCACCACGCTCTCAAATTGACTGATATTTGGACTCCCCGTTGCCGAAATATGGAGCCATTCAGGCACTTCGCTCCCCAAATCATCCTGTTTCCAAATAATGCGGAAGAGCGAGGTGAGCGAGAAGGAAACGCACGTATTATCTTTAAAATGATATTCCCTCGTAATATTATCTACAGTTACAGTATATACAGTAGTGGTTTCTAACATCTTTGTTGTTTCATGGAAGCGACGTTATTCTAAAGTAATATTTTGATGTAACTTCATGTAAATTTCTCTCGTGGCACCCCGGTTGAAAAACGCTGCGATAAATTGACCACTTTAAAGGAACCACTCCTCGTGTTTAAGGGGTATTAGAAACAATTAGATTCACAAATCTATTTCACAAAAATCTGTTACCTCGTTACGACCCTTCTGTACATTTTGAATCTTTTGACTTTTTGAGGCTCTGAAATCAAGCAGAAGGCATAGGAGCCTTTTCCCGAGAAGGGGGAACATCTTAAAGCATATCAATTTTATAATAAATAGCCTACTTTACAATACGAGGGAACCTAACATCAAGGACACCTAGCAAATGGCGTATCCAGCATTTCCCTATGAAGGGGTAGGGGCAGTGGCAAAATCCGCCACAGACAAAGGGGGTGCATGGTAAGTTTAATTTGAAAAAAATTTACTTGGCCTTCATTGAGGGCAAACAAAAGGGGCATTGACTGTCTTCATCCTATGTTGGGCACTCGACTACCTTGCATACAACAATCAATGAAGACGTACTTGACGTGATTACAGCTTGCATGGCCTTCGAAGTAGTTGACTCCATTATTGGAGCGGTAGTAGGTCCTGTCTGTTCAACGTTCGTCAGAGTTGGCATATCAGGAGCGCTCGTGTACATGGAGTTAGCTGCGGATGACAAATATTTGTGTTTACAATGTAAATACATACATGATGTTGAGTTATGTTAAAGCCTCGGTCACAAATGCCATTACGAACTGCTACGAACGCCGTACGAACGATTTTCAGACGATGGAAATTCGGGATGACAATGGAAAAACATGGAGATTCGTACGAAATTATCGTTCGTACGAACCTTTGTGACCGTAGCATAAACAATAACTTTTCTGAATTAAAGACCTTGCTTTGGCAATAACAAAAGAATATCTAAGCATAATCACATACCTACATACATAGGCCTACGTAAATACATAATATATATATATATATATATCTTTATCCGTGTTGTTACTCAAATACATAATTTAATAAAATACGAAAAACATACATACACACATTTATATCTTTATCCGTTTCTCACTTTAAGAGAAAAATAGAACTGAGAAAAAAAAAATCGTAATGCATTAGTATTATTGACAGTGAGTGTTTATTGTCAAAATTTCCGAACGCAAACTCATTTCTTGGCCAAGGAGGTTATACATGTACAAATAAGCTGAGTATGTGTAACGATTTTGTGTTTCGAAAATTCATACAATAAATATTTGATTTCATTTATTGGCAGTAGTGCATTACCATCTCCTCCTTTATGTGTTTCGTTTACTCAAAAATATTATGGACATTAACCGATATTACAATAGTAACATGTTCATCCTGCTTCCACTTTGAATTGAAAAAATACTCACGTGTAAGACTGAACTTGATGTGGAAGTCATTTAGTGTAGAAGGGCTCGAGACAGTAAAAGAGACCGTGATAGTGTCTTGTAGATATGCATAAGGAGTTCTTACAATCCTAGATGTTCCATCCTGGCCACTATAGGTGGCACTTAAGGGCTTAGCATTTATACTAAGCTGGTTGCCATCACCTAAGTCGAATGTCGTCAATACCTCTAGGTCGTGGAAAGCTGTAACACTAATTACCATTGTCCAGGTACATGATCCGGCGTTAAACTCATACCTACCGGGAAATCCCTGAGAAGAAAAAAAAGGGGAGGGGGGGGTGGAGAAACGAAAAAAGAAGAGATAAGAGTTCAATATCTTGTCTTTGACATTTGAAAGTGAAATTAGCGTGTTGTCCACCGAATTATCGTTGTGTTTTTGGAATATTAAATAGCATGCATGGCCCCAATCGGCAAATTGCTGTTTGGTCCACAACCAGTTCATCAGTCTATTCCCGTATGGTCTACACCCAGCCGTCTACTATCCAAATAGTCTAATTATCATCTCGTCTACTTATCATTTCCTCATATGACCAAATAGGCTAATAGCCATTTCGTCTAATTTCCAATAAGTCTACTAACCATTTGGTATGTTACTCATTTTCGAGTCGGTCTAATTTTTATTTGTTTTATTACCAAATGACTAGATATTCAATTTACAACATGTATGACCCATAAGGGTCTTCTCTTTTTAGAGGACCTATACCAATGTGCTATCCACAATGCGTTTTAAGCAGTGTCCCAAGGGAGAAGGCATTTAGAAGGGAAAAAAAACACGAGAAATTTATGATAATATTGTACACGACAAACGGGAAAGTGGCCCATGACTAGGTCACATGCCACATTCCACATCCTCCAAGGTTGGATTGCCCTTTTAACCATGTATTGTTACTTATTCTATGATTTCCACAAACGCAAAAAAGAATGTGAGAGAGGGTTTTTGTTACCAGAGATGTTACGTAATATGGTTGATTGGGAGTCAGCTCCACAGGTGTAGATGTACCACACTCGCCGATCACATCCGCTAAGACAAAAAGGACAGAACAAAACAAACATCTTAATTAGAATTCTGATGATGATATTGTTCATCAATGTTTTTATTTTACTAAATCACTAAAAGGTAACACCAAGTTATTGTTGCTTTTGTCGTTGTTGTTGATTTTTGTTGCCATATGAAATTGCTTTTGAATAATTACTTACAAATAGAATTTTAATAATTATGATCTGCATGTCGTCAGCATGGTCAGCATGGTCATCCAATTGTTTGGTTAGTAACACTAGTGCTAGAGAATGCTTCTGGGAATTCAGGTATTTATTAAGAGCACATACCACCATACACGGAGATAGCGTTTACTCCACCACACTGCTGTAAATCATCTCCTTGGCATTCCAGATCACAGACTCCTACAAGACTACGATCACCCAGTGCTGATCCACAGATACAGTCCTGACCGTTAGCAAGTCCTAGGTATGGACTATCAGAGCATGCCTCGGCACACGTCAGGATATTAACTTGCTGATCCCCTAACTCTGCCTGCACACCATCGGAAAAGAACGGATCGGTAACCGTGTGGGAGTAACAGCCCTGATAACCTGGAACTGAGAAGAAAAATGAGGGGAAAGAATGTTATGAACCTTAATCCTAATTCAACGGGACGTGATATACATGTATGTAAGTATGGGTAGGTTTGCCTGGTTGTGCTGTATGTTAAATCGTTAGAATTAGGCATACCCCCTCACCGCCGGACTGGGATTCAAACTCAATCTTTGGATTGAGATTCAGGTGAATGGACCACTATATAACGACACCAAGATTGCTTTCACTAACTCGTCTAGCCCTCCTCCTTCCCCCCCCCCCCTCTCTCTCTCTCTCTCTCTCTCTCTCTTTCGCTCTCTCTCTCTCTCTATCTCTCCTTCTGTCCCTATCATGTTTATTTTCTCCTGAGAGAAGGGACACGCGCCCGAACCCCTAATGTATACGCGACTGAACAAAAGACATCTAAGATGTCCGTCATTATGAGGTTGATATCATTTGGGGTTCAAAAACGGGAGAGAAATAGAATTTTTAATAATTTGTAATAGAGCATCCGGGTATTGTTCCATTTTCTCTACCTCGTATTACTATGAAAAAGACATTTGAACTTACCTAAGCAGGATATCGTAGGAACCCTCGCACATGTCTCTCTGAATTCACACTCAAGTGGTAGTTCAGAGTTGTTTGTCTTTCTGCAGACCGCGTAACCATCTAAATCTAAGAGGGGGCCAGTTTCGGCAGGTGTTGTATCCCTTTTAACTATCATAGAGCCTTCGAATCCTTCAAATGAAAAGATGAATACCAGACTTTATTCTCGTTCTCTCAGTCTTCTTTGGTTAAACATAACAGGTTGAGTATAAATTCTCAGCGGGTTGGTAAAGTTGACATGATAATGGTTATGCAGATAATAACAGGACAAATTATTTGTATAGATTTTGTGTGTAATAGTCCCAGAAAAAGTATAAATAATGAACGTACTTTAAATAGTTTAAAGTTAGATTTGAATAATGATGATTGGAATAGGGTTATGTATCCAAGTAATGAACAAATAGCATATGGTCGGTTTAAACATAGTTGTATTCCACTAGAAAAAAATTAAACAAGTGCAAGAAAAATTGGTTAAGCGAAAAATTATTGAATGTAATAAAAAAAGAAAAACAAGTTATATAAAGTATATTGTAAGAATTCTTCTAATAATAATAACCTTAAGTATCATAAAGCTCGCAACAAGTTTAATAAATTATTGAAAATGGCACGCAAGGCATATTATACACATACATTTAAGAAAACTAAAGGTAATATTAAACAAACATGGTCTGTAATAAATGAGATATTTGGTAAATCTAGAAAGACTTTGCCTTCATATTTTATAGTAAATGGACAAAATATTCATGATCCACATGATAATGCAAATTATTTTAATGATTTTCTTTTTATTGGCATTGGATTGAATATATGCAATACAATTTCTGTTAATCATATTGTAAATCATAGAGATTTTCTGCCTCAACCATGGACTGCATGTTTATTTCTAAAACCTATTAATGCAAATGAAATAAATACAATTGTACAATCATTAAAAAGTACTCGAAGTTGTGGAGTAGATGATTTTAAACTATGTGTAATTAAGAAAGTTATTGATTATATTTTAGAACCTCTTAATCATATTTTGAATATGTCTTTATGTACAGGAATTATATCATCTGAAATGAAAATAGCAAGAGTCACCCCAATATACAAAAAAGATGATTTTCATAATTTAAGTAATCATAGACCAATCTCAGTTTTACACATTTTTTCAAAAATCCAAGAACGAATTGTTCATAATACATTTATTTGGTAATGCAATATTACATTCTTGCCAATAAGGATTAACCAAAAATGTATCAACTGAAATGGCTCTAATTGATGTTCATGATTTTTAGTATCTTCCTTAAATAATAAATTGCACACTGTTGGTCTTTTCTTACATTTATGCAAAGCCTTTGATTCTATAGATCACAAAATGTTGTTAGATAAATTGAATTACTATGGAATAAGAGGTGTTGCTACCACATAGTTTAAAAAATTATTTGAATAATCGACACCAAATTGTTGTATATAACAATGTTTTATCCGACTCAATGCAAGTCACGTGTGGAGTCCTTCAGGGCTCAATTTTAGGTCCTCTTTTATTTTTTATTGTACATAAATGATTTAAATTATTATTCAAACATTTTGAAATTTGTCCTTTTTGCTGATGGCACCAATATCCTCTATTCTGATAAAGATATTAATATTTTATGGCAAACTTTAAATAATGAATTGCAGCATGTATCACAATGGTTCAATAGTAATAAATTGTCTTTGAGTAACATCTAAATCTAATTTTGTATATTTTCATTATTAGCAAAATATTATTTCAGCTTATTAGTTGAATGCATTAAATATAAAGATGAATGATGCTCCGATAAACGAGTTCAATAAACTAGCTTTTTAGGTGTAATTATTGACCAAAATTTAACTTGGAATGCTCATATACTTGCCATTTCAAACAAAATTTCAAGAAATATTGGTGTCATCAGCAAATTATCTCATATCTTGTCTCAAAATATTTTGATTTTATTGTGTGATACAATGTTTTTACCGTACTAAATGTATTGTCATGTTGTATGGGGCAACACATACCCAACACGATTACAAAAACTGCTTATATTACAAAAGCGTATAGTAAGAATATGTCTTATGTCTGATTTCAATGCCCATTCAATACCGTTATTTCAACAACTACAGTTTTTAAATATTTTTCAATTGAATCAATATTGTATATCACTCATGGATTTTAAACATAAAACTGATAAACTGCCGATCAATCTTGCCACTATGATGAGATGTAAAAAATCTGTTCATAATTATAATACTAAAAATCATGATAACTATTTTATTGAAAAATGTCCATCTACAAGTTCTTTAATTAATTTAAGACACACTGGCCCGAAAATATGAATTCTCACCCCAGAGATATCCATGATACTACTTTCTTTAACTCTTTTAAATCTAAAATTAAAAAATACTTCATATGTTTTTAAATTAATAATAATATTTGCATGTTAATACGTCTCCTATATTTTGTACACTGTTTTATTAGTGTTTATCTTTTATAGGCAATTGTTGGAACTTGTATGTATATTTTAATAACAGGGACTTTCTCGACAGAACCTTATGGTTTTATTTGCAGTTTCCCCAATTCTTTTCTATTGCTGATTAACTTTGTATAATTCCGGTATAATTGTAGACATGTTTCCATTTTGTGTGTGTGTTCTCTGTTTTCTATATTGTATAAAATCTGTATCTTATGTGTTTTTAATAGATTTAAATTAAAATAAAACTTGAAACTTGAAACTACAGAATAAAACATTAACACAAGGGTCCCCCCCTAAAATTTACTTAACTTATACACGTTCGGTGCTTGTAGGTACACAATCGTTCGAAAGATGAAAACTAAATTCATAGCAGATTAAGTCAATTTTAAGTACACTGTAGATGTGTTTCTTTACAAATTCGCAAGAAATATCCAGTCATGTCCATTTCCAGCTAGAATGTGTTGTTAAAAACTATTCGTAATACTTCAATCTTTAATTATAAGTCGTCATAAGTGATATTCTACCATAGCATGTAAAGAACTAAGCCTTACTGACCATTATACTGACAGACGATATCAGCAATGTCAGTGTTCCAGTAAGTGTCATCCACACAGATTTGACAATCTCTGCTAACGATAGAACCTACTGTCTCGATGGTAACCTCGGGAATTCCTCGCCAAACTCCAGGTACGTCATTCAGACTTATATCAGCTACATCAAGAAACGAATAAATTAAACAAAGTGTTAATACAAGTGTAATTATGCTCATGTCAAGGAAGAAAATCTGTCTGATTTTATGGATTCATGTACCGTCAGCCGCCCATTTTGAATCTTGATGAGATCTGCACCCCCCCCCCCCCTCCAGCAATGATGACCATCTCCTTCTTATTGTGACGTCATCAGCAAGCTAAAAATAGGTATGACACTGCGGAGTTATTTGTCTTTCCATTATGAGAAGTTTTGCATACAACAAGATCAAAAGGCTACCATTAAAACCAAAACTACCTCATAAGTCTTCTCCTTTGTCGTGATATTATAAATTGACATGGTGACTATGCCAATCGTCTTTATTTTCCCTTTTTTCAATTCCTCTCTTGATACCGCTATTCTGAGATTTTATTTTTGTCTTAAAATTACAAGATTGTTTTCTTTCAATGTTAGCCAAAGTTATGAACGGTTTAGCTCCTTCAAGACCGTACACATTATTGATGAGTAACTGTGACAGCTTCAATCAAGAAATATAATTAACTCCTTGCAATGATGTTGATTCGCATTTGGGAGAGGAATCGGAACTGACGGATTCGACCAGCAAGCAGATGAATAATTTTGAAAGTACTTACATATTTCGTCGAAGGTGGCTGACGATGAAGTTACTAGAAGCAGGATCAGTGATATTAGAAGAATACACCAATTATGATTCCCTCCATTGATGACAATCTTCTGATAACCCATTTTGATTCCAGAATTGTCTTGCAACGGCTTGAAATATTCGCTTTTATCCCTGGAATAGATTTTAGGTGTGTATCAACCTGTATGCCTAAATTTTAGATACGGTTATAACTGAAAATAGCACTTCATATCAACTTAAATAGTCAAATGAACGCCAGTGCCAAATATAGAAATGACTGATGGGATGCCTACGCACGAGTTTCGACCCTACTACAAACCATGGTCAGGCTTATGCATATTTGAATTTCTTAGACTAATGCAAATACTACCATGGCAACCATGAAAGGTGGTACTCAATATATATGTATTGAAAAAGTCAAGAGTATATGATAAGAAGAAAAGTGTAAGGGGGTAGAGATGCTTAAAATAATAATTTAATATAATTCCTTCTACATTTCTCAAACTGATGTTGTTTACTGCTTACGATCCTGGTTTTTGTGTACTTCTATATTTATCTGATCATACAAAGGCCACCATTATAGCCGTTGTACGGTATGTCACTGAAACAGCTCCCGTAGGTTTTTGTGCCAAAGTTGATTTTTTTTTTTTTTTTTTTTTTTTTTTTTTTTTTTTGCATTTTTTTTGTTGCATTTTTGCATTTTTGGATTCATTGGGTCCAAGCTATCAGAAATTGATGGGGTTCAAATTTTCCCGAAGACACCAAATTTCCCTATTGCGCGTTACATATGCCATCTTAGCGCCCAAATGGACCCCCAGGAAATGAAGGAGGGGTCTGAAAATTTGAACCCCATCATTTTGGGGCAATTGGAAGCCAAAACAGCAACAACAAAAAATCAACTTTGGCAGAAAAATACTACGGGATTACATACCATAACGCACTATTATTGACCCTAACAGCGTTTAGAGAATATCATTATAAATATGTAGGCCTCCGGACTAATAATCGTTCAAGGTGAGTACTGTGACATTACCATTAGATAATATATAGATTTCTGAAATAATGACGTAAAGAGAGGAATATGATGTTTACAAACAAAATCTTATATAGCCCTACTCAGTGCTTGTAAATTCTGGTACTCACAATCTCTCCTATTTCTGTTCTTTAAAACTATCAGTCTCTCTCTCTCTCTCTCTCTCTCTCTCACACACACACACGTACACACACGCACACTTAGATGAATGAAAAGTATACGCAGCCAAGTCATTATTACTAAATGAACATTTCTATAAAATCGCAGATTTCCTATCTAATATCAAAATTGAATTTAAATTCAATTTAATGCCATAATGAAAGTTTTCATGGTGCATTTACATCACAAGGAATTGTTTCTCCCAAAGGACTCGGTCAGTCTGCATCTAAATGTGCTTTGTGTGAGTGCGTGCGTGTGTGCATGTGTGCGCGCATGTGAGATTATGTGCTTGCCCTATTTTAATTCTGTTAATGTTTTTGTGTTTTGTGTGTGGTGTGTGCGTGTGCGTGTATGTGTATGTGTTTGTGGGAGGTGTGTTTGTGGGAGGGAGGGGGCAGGGTAAGGCAGGCATTGTACCAGTGAAATGACCTCCACATTTGTTTAGGTTTTTTTTTTAAGTGAATAATAACGTGCAATTGACTTATAAATTATGTTTATGTATTAAGTTTACTTTGTTGCCAAGTTATATACTGCAAATGAGTTTTTGTTTAATTATGTTTATGTATAAGCAATTCAGATCAATATGGAAAACGTTTATTTATTATATTCAATTGTATGTTTTTGCTTGTATTACAAATTTGGAGAAATAAAACAAAATTGGAAGAAAAAAAGTGTACATGTGTGTGTGCGCGTTTGTGCGTGCGTTTGTGTGTGCGTGCGTGTAAGAAAGAAAGAGAGAGAGAGAGAGAATTCAAGTTCCGGTCGAAATTCCATCGCTTTTTGTTTGTTCCTTTTTACAATATTTAATCACGCCCCATAGAAAATGCCATGTTTGTTTTAAAGGAAGAGAATTTCAACAATCAACGACTTATATTCTTATTCAAATATTTTTAGAATGGGTGATTAAATATGAAATTCCTGAAGTTATACTTCTTGAATGCTCTGTAAAATATATAATTCGCTTATGCTAACTACGATATTCATACTCTATATAAGCCTTCTTTTTTACACGTGATAAAATGCACAAATTTCTTTTGTTTTTGTAAAAGACCAATTAAATGCCTCTTATCTTGTCTTATCTAAATATGTTGTGCTATATATATACGTCAATAATAACATAAATGAGAAGGGGTATATAGTGTTAACCTTTTTGAGTTAAACATCATCACTATTGAACATCGTCACGATTTCAGGAATGTATATGGAAATGTCACAATACTTATCTTGAATGATAATTAGCCAAGAGGCCTACATATTTACACTGATATTCTCGAAACACTGTTCGGACCAATAATGGTGGTCTTGGTATTAAACCCGATAAAAACAAGAGTACACAACAACCAGGAGCGCATTACAAGAAGCCAATAATGTAAGCAGAAAACAACATCAGTGTGAGAAATGTAGAAGGAATTATATGAAATTATTATTTTAGGCATCCCTACCCCCTTACAATTTTCTTCTTATCACATATTCTTGACATTTTTGTTCGTTAAATATTGATAGAGTACCGCCTTTCGTGGTTGCCATGGTAGTATTTGCATTAGTCTACGAAATTCAAATATGCATAGGAAATGAACAGGGTTTGTAGTAGGGTTGGAATTCGGACGTAGGCATCACATAAATCATTTCTATATACGGCGCTGGCGTTCATTTGACTATTTAAGTTGGTATGCAGTGTTATTTTCAGTTGTAACCGTATCTAAAATTGAGGCATACAGGTTGATACACACCTAAAATCTATTCCAGGGATAAAAGCGAATATTTCAAGCCGTTGCAAGATAATTCTGGAATCAAAATGGGTTATCAGAAGATTGTCATCAATGGAGCGAATAATGACTGTTGTGTTCTTCTAATATCACTGATCCTGCTTCTTGTAACATCATCGTCAGCCACCTTCAACGAAATACGTAATTACTTTCAAAATTATTCATCTGCTTGCTGGTCGAATATCTAAAATCCGTCAGTTTCAATTCCTCTCCCAAACGCGATTCAACATCATTTTAAGGAGCTAATTATACTTCTTAATTGAAGCTGTCACAGTTACTCATCAATAATGTGGACGGTCTTGAAATAGTTAAACTGTTTATATCTTTGGCTTACATTGCAAGAATACAATCTTGAAATTGTAAGACAAAAATAAAATCTCAGAATAGCGGCATCAAGTGAGGAACTGAAGAAAATAAAATAACGGGACATTCCGTTCCTGACATGCACAACGAAATTACCTTTTTATATTTGTTTGCTTTTCAGAGAGTTTTGGGGATAATTGTGATCCCTTTTTGGGTTCAAAGTTCTTGATCCGACCCTGATAAAATTAATCTCGGAAAGTTAAAACATTTAATTCAATTCAATTCAATTCTATCAAAGTTTTTTCAACACTCTTCAAAAAAATATTTAAACATACAAATACAGAATGGAATGATATAAAAAAAAAATATATATTGATAACAATTAACAACGGCAATTTATGAGAACATTTTGGATAGGCAGAAAGGAGGGATTCCTTATATGAAAGCCTACCTCTAAAACACACACATACAGGAAAAAAGAGACAAGATCAAAAGAATAGAACAACGAAAAAAGGACATACTAAAACAAATCGGAGTAAAAAAAAAAGGTTTTAAACTTGCCTATGCTATTAATACTGATTAATACATTAAATTTTGTTTATATTGTTTATATTTAATTCTAAAAAGTTTGAGTTTTGCATTTATTTTAATATCTTATTAGCTTTTATGTTAGTCAAAAATGTCTGAACGCATGTCAGTATCTAATTAAACAAAAATAAATGATACATATTTTTGATGTCGGGGCTAAGGTTAAACAAAATTAAAGAGTGCAATTAATCAGTTCATTTTGTAATTTATATTCTGATGACAAGGGTAAGAGAAAAGAACTGCGAGGACGATTTTTTTTTAAGGTAGGGATTATCTTGTGTAACCCAAATGAAAAAGAAGAAACTACATTATGCTGAATATTGAAAATTAGCAGAACTAATTCAGATATACCAAATAAAGACGATTGGCATAGACTGATCACCATGTCAATATATAATATCACGACAAAGGAGAAAAGTTATGAAGTGGTTTTGGTCCTAATGGTAGCCTTTTGATCCTGTTGTATGCAAAAACATCTCATAATGGAAAACAAATAACTCCGCTGTGTCATACCTATTTTTAGCTTGCTGATGACGTCACAATAAAAAGGACGTGGTCATCATTGGTGGAAGGGGGTGCAGATCTCAGCAAGATTCAAAATGGGCGGCTGATGGTACATGATTCATTAAAATCAGACAGACTTCCTTTCTTGACATGAGCATAATAACATAGTAGCATTTCGTTAAATATATTTGTTTCTTGATGTAGACGATATAAATTTGAATAACGTACCTGGAGTTTGGCGAGGAATTCCCGAGGTGACCATCGAGACAGAAGGTTCTCTCGGCGGACGCAAATATTATCAAATCTGTGTGGATGACACTTACTGGAACACTGACATTGCCGATACCGTCTGTCAGTATAATGGTCAGTAAAGCTTATATTAGTTCTTTACATGCTATGGTACAATGTCGATTACGAAGAATTATAATTAAAGATTGAAGTCGGCCTATTACGAATAGTTGTTAACAACACATACTAGCTGAAAGTGGACATGACTGGATATTTCTGGTGAATTTGTAAAGAAATATATCTACAGTGTACTTATAATTGACTTAATGATTTGGATATCTGTTATTCATTTAGTTTTCATCTTTCAAACGCTTGTGTACTTTACGAGCGCCGCACTGTATAAGTAAAGTGAATTTTAGGGGGAAAAGACCCCAAGTTAACTAGCTAATCTGTATGATCATGTATACTGTGTCCGCTTTACAAACCCGCTAAGAATTTTAAACTCAACATGTTATGTTTATAGGGAGACTGAGAGAACGAGAATAACGTCTGGTATATATATTTTGATTTGAAGGATTCGAAGGCTCTATGATAGTGAAAAGGGATACAAGAGCTAGCGACCCTAAATATTCCCATCATGATGGTTACGTGGTCTGCAATGAAATGGAAAACTCTGAACTACCACTTGAGTGTGAAGTCAGAGAGACATGTGAGAGAGTTCCTACGATATCCTGCTTAAGTAAGTACAAGTGTCTTATTCATAGTAATATAGGTAGAGAAAATGGGACAAAACTAACCCCTCTGCTCCATTCAAAATTAGTTATAATTCTATTTCTGTCCCATTATCTACCCCCAAATGATATCAACCTTTTAGTGACGGACATATTGGGATGTCTTTTGTTCATTCGCGTAGATATTAGGGGTTCTGGGCGCGTGTCCCTTCTCTCAGGAGAAAAAACGAAAGGGCAGAAAGTCCAATAGTTTGAATCCCAGTCCGGCACTGACATACTTGGGAAGATATTAATCCGCATTTTCGCCACTTTCCAGCCATGTGTTCATGGGTACCTGTCAATTGCTGGGGATATAAAGATTTTAGCAGTGCCCGCAGTATTGATATGTGCAGCTAACCCGAATAAATAATATCAAATTATTAATTATTATTATATTTTTGATTAATGAAATCAAAATAAAACCATGCGCGGGGTTTAGAGTGAGGTAATAGATTATACATTTAGCCTGACGGTAGCGAAGTAAAAGAAAGAACTCAAGAGAAGATGAAAACGCAGGCACTGAAAAATATGTGTGAGATGTCATGGGACATAGTCTGCTTGTGCAAATCATGTCCATACTGTGATCTCACACATCTCAGCAGCGTTCGGAGAGCTCTTCAGGTGCTATGCCGGGGCTTTATTTAGGCGTTTTGTAATTTATAATGATCATTATTTCGAATGTTTCCAAGCATTGAATTTTGATAACCTTGTCGAATCAAAGTTTCAACTTTGCAATAATGAAAATAAAGTTAGTTTCAAAATCAATGAATATCTACTTTAAGTTTATTTTCAGTTTTTTTTTGTGTGTGTGTGTGTCCCTTCTTCTACGGGTGGGATGGGTATAAGATTATGTCTAACGGTTTAAAACACAACACAAACAGGATCACGTCCCGTGGAGGTTCATAACATTCTTTCCCCTCATTTTTCTTCTCAGTTCCAGGTTATCAGGGCTGTTACTCCCACACGGTTACTAATCCGTTCTTTACAGAGGGTGTGCAGGCAGATTTAGGAAATAAGTCAGTTACTATCCTGACCTGTGCCGAAGCATGCTCTGGTAGTCCATATCTAGGACTTACTAACAATCAGGACTGTATCTGTGGATCAGTACTGGGTGATCGTAGTCTTGTAGGGGTCTGTGATCTGGGATGTCAAGGAGATGATCTACAGCTGTGTGGTGGAGTGAATGCTATCTCCGTGTATGGTGGTATGTGCTCTTAATAAATACTTGAATTGCCAAAGAATTGCACAAGCATTCTCTACTCCTAGTTTTACCAATCTGACAATTGGATGACCATGCTGACGACATACAGATCATAATTATTAAAGTTCTGTTAGCAAGTAGTTATTATGAAGCAATTTCATATAGCAAAAGAAAATCAACAACAACAGCAACAGCAACAATAACTTAGTGTTACCTTCCGGTGATTTAGTAGAATAAAAGCATTAATAAACAATATCATCATCATAATTCGAATAAAGATTTCTTCATTTCTTCTGTCCTTTTTGTTTCAGCGGATGTGATCGGCGAGTGTGGTACATCTGTTACGCTGAATCCCAATCAACCATATTATGTAACATCTCCGGTAAAAAAATTATATCATATTCTGCTTTGCGTTTGTGGAAATCCTAGAACAGTATCAATGGTTTATAAAGAGCAATCCAACCGTGGTGATAAGGTCATTTGAATTAAAGCAGAAAAAGAAGAGAAACAGAATGGCGAAAGTTTCAAATAAATCGGCCCAATAGTATGGAAATTATGAATGTTTGAAACGTGAGACCAATATACAGGGTGTATCATAATAAAGGATATTGAAGTTTAATGACGATTTATATGAAAACTACTGATTTCATAATCAAGCACTTATGTCTGTTGTAAAGGACAGAATGTCCTCTTTTTAATGACACCCCAATCATACTTCTACTGTCACAGTTGACTGAATAACAAAGCATTGCTGTCCACCATGTCAAAGGTGCACTGTGACAAGTTAGCATTCAAAGATTAGTGCTTGTGTCAGCCCAGACATATTGAAATGCTGAACAATGAGTGGATTATGTGTCTAAGAAGGAAATGTTATCAAACTTGGCACAGTGCACCTTTCACATGGTGGACAGCAATGCTTTGTTATTCAGTCAACTGTGACAGTAGAAGTATGATTGGGGTGTCATTAAAAAGAGGACATTCTGTCCTTTACAACAGACATAAGTGCTTGATTATGAAATCAGTAGTTTTCATATAAATCGTCATTAAACTTCAATATCCTTTATTATGATACACCCTGTATACATCTACGCGAATCTCAAATTGATTGGCAGTGGAATGTGAAGTAGTAAAGGCCAACTTAGGTAGTCGTGTACAATATTTGCAGTAATATCTCGGGTTTTTTTCTCCTAAACGCCTTCTCCCTTCGAACACTACTTAAAACACTTTGTGGATAGCATATAGTTATAGGTCTTCTAAAAAGGAAAGACCCTTATGAGTCATACATGTTGACGAATTGATAATCTAGTCATTAGGTGCTAAAACAAATAGGAAATAATAATTTAATCATCGAACGATTTTTTTGACCCTATTGATAGTAGGCGAATTGTTCAATAGATAAACTGGGAATTAGACCGATTCGAAATTGGACTAAATGAGTAATTTACCAAATGGTTGGTAGACTTATCGGAAATTAGACCAGGTGGCTATTAGCCTAAATGGTCGTTAGACCAAATAATAAGTAGATAAAAAATGATAATTATACTTTTTGGATAGTAGACGGGCTGGGTGTAGACCATATGGGAATAGACTAATTGGATAGTAAACAAACTGGACAACACGCTTATTACACTTTCAAATGTCAAAGAAACTATAACGAACTCTAATTTCTTCTCTTTTCGCTTGTCCCCCCCCCCCCCTTTTTTTTTTTCTCAGGGATTTCCCGGTAGGAATATGAATAGCGCCGGATGCACCTGGACACTGGGTTTCTATGTTCAAGTTTGGCACAACCTAGAGGTAGTGGTGATATTCGGCTTAGACGTAGGTGGTAACAACGCGCTTAGTATACGTTCTACTTCCGGGCTTTTCTGGGGTGACAAATATTTGGGGACCGAGGGTTCCTTTAGGAGCTTCCGGGCTCCTTATACACGTCTCCAAGACACTTTCACGGTCTCTTTTACTGTCTTGGACACTTCTGCACTAAGTGATTTCCACATCAAATTCAGTCTTACACGTGAGTACATGTATTTCTTGATTTTAAAGTAGAAACAGGATGAACAGGTTTGTAATATCGGTTAAGCCAGGTCAACAATATATTTGCGTAAAATGAAATACTGTCATAAAGAAGAAAATTTGAATGCACTATTGCCAATAAATGAAATCAAATGTTCAGTGACTGAATTTTTGGTACACAGAATCGTTACAAAACCCTAAGCCTGTATAATGTATAACCTCCCTGCCAAAAAACGAGGTTGCGTTCCGAAATTGGGACAATATACACTCACTGTCAACAATACCAATGCATTACGCTCTTCTTTCTCAGTTTTCTTTCTTCTGTTCAAAGATCTATATATTAATTTAATAAAAGAAAACGAATAAAGATGTATATAGTTATATGTATGTATGAATGTATGAATGTACTTATGTATGACTTGTATGGGTGTATTTGTATGCGCATAGATATTCATTTGTTACGTTAAAAGGGATATGATGCCAAAACAAGTTCTTTAATCTACCAAAGTATTCGTTTAGGGTTTCTGCATGCTGCGTACCGTGCTGAAAGGACCTAACAAATACAATGGCTCCAACCAAAACTTGCTCTCACTTTCCTGAGGGAAAAAAAAAAATAAAAAATATTAACTGTGAATATTTCCTTTCCTCCTACAGTCATGAGGTTATAAGTATCTTTGTTTTTTCTTCTTGTTTTATTTTTTACAATAAAAAACAAATATTGTCATCCACAGCTAATTCCATGTATACAAGTGCTCCTGCTAAACAGACAGGACCTACCACCGCTCCAATAATGGAGTCAACTACTTCCAAGGCTATGCAAGCTGTAAGCACGACAGGTACGTCCTCATTGATTACTAGGGACTTTTAGATTTGCACGTCGACATACTGGACTGCTACGCGTGACGTCCTTTTAAGGCACTGTGAAGTCCTTTTAAGGCATTGTGACGTCCTTTTAAGGTACTGCCAGTGCCTTAAAAGGACGTCACACGTAGCAGTCCACTATGTCGACGTGCAAATCTAAAAGTCCCTATTGTCCCACCAAAATAAGAGGAAGACAGACAATGCCCCTCCTGTTTCTACTCACTGAAAGCAACAACAACAAAAATCAACCTTCTACTGCACCCTACCCACCCACTTTGTTTGGTGTGCGTTCCGCCACTGCCCCCTTCCCCTTCATCAAGAAATTCGGGATACGCCATTTGCTAGGTGTCCTTGACGTTAGGTTCCCTCGTATTAATTGCAGTAAAGTAGGCTATTTATTATATAATAGATATGCTAGAGGATTTTCTCCGTTCCCGAAAAGGGGGTCCTTCGATTCGCCTTTTCCGAGATTCAAGAGCCTCAAACTCAATGAGTTGAAAGTTTCAAAACGTAAAGAGGGAACGTAACGAGTTCACAATTTTTGTAAAATAGATTTTTGCATTAATTGACTCTAACATACCCCTTGAACACATATTTTGGCACATTTTTACAGCACATTTTTACAAAGCATTTTGGCAACAGATTGTCCAAATATCATTTTATTTGACAGCGAGGTGCCCGAACATATGTCATATCTTTTATATCAAAATAACATTTTTACCGCTTGTTCGCTTCACTCGCTCGCAAATTCTAGAAACGGGATAATTCCGGGCAACGACATGACCGAATATCTTCATATTTTTTGGCGCCGGGATGCCCGCACACATTATTTTATATCTTTTCTAGTATATTGATTTCAAAATAATGTTTTAACATATTGAACAATGTCTTTTGGGGGTGGGGGCTTGCTCGCAAGAATTAGGAATACAATCCCCGTAGGTGTGTACATAGCACTTCATAAGTTCCACAGTGATGTACAGGTAATATCTATGATAAATTCGGGATTGGGGTGACGCGAGACTTATTATATCTGAAAAATGTGTTGTGACCGAAAGAAAAAAAGGTTGAAAAAAATACTGATTTATTATACCTTTTTTTATAATTAGGTATGTCGGCTGCCGTAGGAGTGGTAATTGCTTTTCTTCTTCTAGTTTAAAAGGTAAAGTTCGTTTACAGGACACTGACTGATGATAAGAAGCGAGGAACACAGACATCGATTTGTTAATTTGTTTTTCTGTTTTTATGAACTTCTCGATGGGAAAATGATGTAAAGCGAAAATCTTGTCAATCTGTTCATTACAAAATAAATAATTTCACGAACCAACTTTAAAGAACAAAATCCAAACTTGACAGCAAAGCAGGAAGCTTAGAAAAGAAGACTAGTAAAAGTTTGAATGAGAACGGACAAAAAAAGAAGAAAGTTTTGAATCTTTAGAACACGTCATCAATATAGAGATTTTGTATTTTAAGTACTACATTTATAGCTTAATTATGAGTCCATTTTTACCTCTGACATTTTTACCTCTGACATTTTCACCTCTGATATTTTTACCTCATAAGTACATGATTACATTTTTACACCATGATTACATGATTAGTTTTCCATTTTTAAATTTAATCTGATCATTACTTTTATCTATATATAGATGACTCGATAATGATATAAAAGTATGAATTATTCTATCATTATATTTTTATCAGGTTTAAGCCTCCAGAACAAACATTTAAATGCATTAGTCTTATAGTTAAAGGTACTTAGTAACATTGTGATGGTTGATTTCACAAATCTGTTGAATCAGGATGCAAAACACATAAAATCATGTTTGTATGTATTAACACAGACGGTTCCAACGGGGAAATGGTGTTCACTTTTTTTTTAATGCGGATTCCTATAAGTAAAATGTTATGCTTACAACGATGGCACCGACCGACTTCTGATAAAGTGGGCCCAAATGTTTATGTTTTAGGGGCCCACTATTCTATTGCCCCAGAAAGCGGTAGGCCTCTTGACTTTGTAGATTACTATCATTTGGACCCTTTGGAGCAACTTCCGGGCCCCAGTGGTCTTCTGTGGGCCTTAACGTTTACCTTATTTCCTTGCATTGTTCATAATGGGTTTCTTACACCAAATGAACATTTACAGCCA